ACCAACAACCTACGGCGGGCAGGCCATTTAGAACGGGGTTGATGAAAGCGGATGCCAAGGAAAAGCTAATTTCCTGGTTTATGAAGCAACTCTGACAGCAAACTCCCAAGAGCTCTTGTTACTAAATTTATTTACGCCGTGACCATCCATATTCGCCAAAATATACGAAAAATATGTGTCGTTTTGTTCATATGCTGAGGTAACTTCCGTGTCGTTGACATAAGTAGTGACTTTGCCCTTCGTTTAGCGTACACAGTAAACATTCTGGTCTGACCAAGAAAAAAGCCAACTTGTCGTAGTTGCCGCGCGTTACTGTGCCTTTGAATTTTCTCCTTACGATGCTCCCTCTATTCTCTCTGCCTCTCAGGTAAAGAGAAACATCTTGGATACTTCGGTCGTCTGGGGACCGCTTCGAGCTATACGAAAGGAGGAAAATCTCTGAAGGCAGCCAATCCATTGCCTCAATTAAATGACAACATGAAAACCCTCACCCGAAGTAATGTGACGTCTTTTAAGAGTGGTGTGGAATGAGGGGATCACCAGCAAAAACAGGCGCAGGTAATATTTGACGGTAACTGCCTATCGTCAATTTGTTCTATCGTCTTGTGTACCTTAAGCTCACATTTTACAAGCGCTAGACCATACACCAAAAATACGATTATGTTAAACTTATCCAAAGTCGGAGTCTGCATCGGATTCATTATTGGGACTGACGTACTTCACCATACTCAGTCGAAACAAAAGCACTCAACAACAGACAGCAGAGTATCGTTATCAATCAGTCAGATTAGTGAACACAAGAACTCCCCAGGCCGCATTGAAAACCCAAAATGTTTTACGTTTCTGATGAGAAAAAACTTTTTTCATGTCATCTACCTTGATGACATTTGGCTCCCCTGCGGTGGGTGAAACAGTGGTAATAGGCTCAACGAAGTCATTGTTGTTTCTGGAAGCGTGTTCATACACATGCAGCTATCTAATCCCAGCCAATCAGAAGACTTTCGGAGTTGATCTTTGATGCATGGGATTTACTTAGGGATTCAAGTATTGTAAATGAGGTTTAATTCTTTTAATTACTCACACTTTCCCGATATGAGAAATTTTCTGTTTTTAGCTATGCTGACCAATATTAGCAAGGAGTAGTTGATGAATTAAAATAAGCAGTAGTCAGTTTCAGAGTACTATTCGGGTGATTATTTACCAACCTAAAGGGGCATGAATGGGCACCTTGGTGAAGATGCGTAAGCTCGGGTATAGCTCGTTTAAATGAGGGCGTGGTGCTCACGTTTGTTTCAAAAAATTAGTCACAATATTGCCATTTTCTGTCGCCAGACTTTTATGATTCTTGAAACAAATCCCGAACAATCAAAACGACTTGCATCCTTTTCTGACTCTCATCTGTTTGACATCTTTGTCAAAAACCGCACTGAGACGTTAATTTGTTCGTTGATCCCCTAATTATAAGTTAGGGTTGTGCTCGAGTACTCTGGAAAGCGAAACAAATTAAGTCACTCATTTGTGCTCCGTTTATCAACTTAAGTGAGGGTTGCTTATATTTGGTCTTTTTGATTAATGGTCTACTTTTCAAAGCTTCAGGCGCTTTTTATGATTCTCCACTTTTTACAGTTTCAGGCTAGTAGCTTCCATACCTATCTCTGAAGCTAAGAATAAATTAACACCGACGAGCGGCAAAATATGCAGTGCGTACTTGGACGTTATAAGAAGATAAAACGTACTTCGCAAAAGCCGAAATTCTTAAGACGGGTATCAAAGGAGGCTAAAGTTGAGGTTTCGGGTTATTCGTAAAAGAGGCTGCCCTAGTTCCACAACAACTCCGTTTAATAGACGACAAGGGAGACTTTTTCACAATCAAGATACATATCTTGCTGGTTCTATCTTATGAGTTAGGACAAGTATTAATTCTAAAAAAAGCCTCAGCAAATTTACAGAACCTGCATTGTCTTCCAGTCACATAGTAGCAGATGTCCGCTATTTGCATAAACCCCTGAAGGCAGACAGCTCAATTTATGGAGTCTTGAGGTTTCAGGATTCTGTTGGCACTTGACTGTGTCAGTAGTGACCCGACTAATCATCTCCGTGCCATCGCAGTCGAGGCCTTGGCCTGCGTTCAAGGACATGGACAGTTAACAGAGATAACTTACTTCCGCGAAACTGTTTCAACGTCGTCAGAATTCGAAGTCCCGCTCAAGTTAACCTGTACAATTACCAGGGAACTTTGACCACAGAAAGTTATAGTCAAGATGATGACTGAGTATGATTACCTCGACAACCAACGCAAATGCTTATGCGTTACGTCGTTCCGAGTGCGTGTGGCGAAATATGTTGTTTTTCGGCAAACTTCTGATGTAACTCCCCTGGCCTATGGAGCTCGAGGAAACCGTTTTATCTGAACTGGTCGCGCAAACAACAAACTTTGTGAGGCAGTTCTTCCAGCCTGCTGAAACAAGTTCGGGTCATTGCGAAGTCATTTCACCCATTTCATTTGCATGTCACCAAATGACTACTGTGTTAGGTAGTAATTTAGTTGGCCTCAATTGTCATGTTATATATTCACATTTCAATCTAACAGAGAGGTGTCAAGCAACAAATGCTGTAGTTATTTCCTCCATTATCTCTTCGGCCTTGTTAATTTTAATCTTACCCCATCTTCTATTATTATGCTTTTTGACCTTGGAGCCATCAATGCCTCTGAACTCGCCCATATAACGTGCCGCTAAAAGGATGGACCGCTAACAGAGCCTTTAAAATCAGATTCTGGCATTCCCCACCTTTGGTCATGAATTCTTCTCTAGCCCGAAACTCTGCATGAATAAATTCCTAGACTCATTGATCGGAAATCCTTCCCCTGCTCCTGTGAAAGATATTCAGGTAGTTGGGGAGGTGAGGGGTAGCTCGCTGTAACAGATTTGTCGCATTTCGAAAGTTTGATCGGCCCTCCACTGTCAAGTCTTCCAGCGCACAAAATCAAACGGAAATTCTAATGACTTGCGAGCCAGTCTATATAAGTCTGATTGATTTTACTGGCTTCAATAGTCCCGCCTTCTTTTGGATGTCTGAAGAGTTAGATAGCCGTGCGTGCTTTTAGGTAACACCACGAAGGAGGGTACTCGGGTCTCTATGAGACTAGTTTGATCTGTTGGAGCCCCTTCTTTACTGTCAGGTGGGCTCGTTGTCGTGTTACCTCTGGTTCATTTTCTAAATTTCACTACAGCCCTCTTGTTCTGCTCCTTGTTTAGGTAACGTGGCAGGATTATTTATACCGAAGGACAGTCCTGATGGAATAGGAATCCAAAAATCATGCCTTTACTGGGAGCGGTCGCAGCAAAGTCGGAATTGAACGACCAGGAAACCGACGCGGAAACAACTCTGGCATAGAGAATGCCTTTCGAGACCTCTGATTATGGATACTCTGTTCATTCTTTGTTCGTCCGACGTTTGTTTTGCCTGATGAAGTGGCTTGAATGTCCGTTAGCTCTGAATAGGTTACTGGAGTATAGTGGTACACCTTTTTGATACAGTGTTTCAACTTTAAAGTAGATAGTGGGCAAAGTTACGTTTGTAAAACAAGGAGTAATTGATGCTGTTATGAGCCATTTGCCTGCTGTTGGTGCCTTTCCCGAATTCTGTAGATTGTAGTGCTCCATTTGCAAATCAGGGCAGATGAACTTCGGGGAAGGGGAGGTGGACACTTGTTTCGGATTTCATCGCGAATTAGATATTCGGGTCAACTGGTTCAATATTCAATGTGGTTAGTTTTTATGACGATGAAGGTGTCGTTAATATAACAAGCACACATCTTCGGTCGAAACTTGGTGTTCCATCTCTTGATAGCCTACAATCTTAGCAAAACCTGATCTGAGAAGCTCATTAAACTTTCACTCATTCGTCCATACATCTGTCTACATAAAATGAAGTACGTATGTTTAAAATGACTGTCGTGAAGCTTGAAAAGGAGTTCCCAATGCGAATGCTAATTGTTAAGGAGTTGGAGTGAAGAGCGAGACGACATCAAAGGTTGCAATAGATTCGTCTGCTTCCAAGTTTACGATCTTTATTAGTTCAAAAAAATTGTTAGCGGAAACTCGTGAGGGATTTAATCTTTCATTTTACTGGTTCGATGGGGTTTGTAAGGTTTCCGGTCCTCAAGCGGGCTTTGGGTCTTGATCGATCATTCAGACAAGGTAGACAATATTGTGGAGTGATGCCTTTAGATTGTTCAGTGCTTTTTGTTACTTCCTTTCAAGAGTTTTTATCTTTTGCCTCATGAGCTTGGAGAAATTTTGACGAATAATCAGCCCTCCGCTGTCCCTTGTTATAATCGTTCCTTAAAGAGTGGACCCAAAACTGACAATGAACTCTTGTGGTTTGAGATCTTCTGTGCTGAACATGACTCGATTTTCCTTAAAACTCTGACTTGTCTACCCATTGCCTTCGGATACGAAAATATAAATGAACTTAGCAGCAAAAAGAGCCCTTAACATGGAAACAAAGTCAATAAACAATTGTCAGTTTCTAAAATTCCCAACAGATCCTGCCGCATCGAGAGATGATTCAATAGAGCACCCGAATAAGAAACAAATGATTGCTGATTGAGCGGCAGTTGCTACTATAATTTTGCAATTTAATCCTCTTTCGTACCAATGTCTATTTAGTTTGTTCGGCCGTTCTTCACTGCCCATTGCTTCTGAATCAGATGGAAAGGAGACATGTTACAAGCGACTACTGAAAAGGGTTGACGGCAGTATACATTCAGACAATTTGTCGGAAAAGACGAAATAATTGTACTAATCAAGTTGCTGGAGGAAAGGAGTAGTGCATAAAGTAGTGAGACAAAATTATTGCAAATGGTTAAAAACATCATTAATACGCTGAAAGCGTTGCACTGAATTTGGAAAATGGAAGCATATGTCCGTTGCTTTTCAAGCTGGTATGTTTGAATTTCGGAATTTTGGCAAAATACATGAAAACGGTTCGAACATATCTGATGAATGAAGGCAAGTTAAGCATAATAAGGCTTGGTACAAAAAATAAAGGTTAGACTCATGATTCACTTGAATGCAGGAGTTTTTTCGCGAAAAGCCATTGTGATGATTATAATTCAGGGACAATTTCGTGCGCCAAGTTCGTTGTTTTCTGATTGATTGGCGAAAGAGGTTGGACAGATGGGACAAAAAAGCAAGGCGGTCATGGATGAGATGTTCCAAATGCGTTTTAACAGTCCAAAGACCGATGTTGATGGCGATTCAACCCCAATGTTCACAGGGTTTACTAATCCGAACGAGAGACAGGGCGATAGCGTCGACCAGTTATGCAATGCGATCGATGAGAGGTGCAACGCATTGTGACGACGCGCTATCTGCCCTGTCCATGTGTCAGTCTTCGCTGCTGCACTTGTGCAGAACATTGGTCGTAACTCTCCTCTCCTGCTCTCGCATTCTCAACAACTTTCACCCGTTTTTATGACGATGTGGTGTCGCTAACGTTCGAAAATTCACGAGTAAGCCTGTGGTTTCGAGGCCTTTGTTTTATTAAAATGCTATCGAAACGTCGATCACGGCACAGTTAACGAATTCGATTGGGCCCTAAAAGAAAATAAAGGCAGGTCACTTAACGCTCAACAAATTTGCCTGAGTTTGTGAACCTCTGCAAAATTCCCCAATATGATAGGGCGAAGGAAAAGTAAAGAATGTACTCTCCTTGCAGTCTCGCACTCTGAGTTAGCATAATCCGTCTCTGACTGGGATCGAAGTCGAGCCATTGGACACAGAGTGCAGCGCGTAATAGTCAGAAGAGAGGGGGAGAGGGCGTGTGCTGGAGGGAAAAAGTGGATTCCTATATAGGACTACGGTGATATAATCTGAGACGCAAGTCTTATGGAGCTCCTCACATGCCTAGTGACGGAAGAGCGTGCCTGCGAAAATGAATTCGCAGCTCCTCTCACGTGTAAGGGGGAACGAAGCAGGACGATGATTAGTGATCCCGCATCGCCAGCATGCCCTCGTGTATGTGTGAACTCAGCTTCCTAGCTGTCTGTCCTATCTGAATTCAAAAACAATAGACAAAAATGGAATTTTTGCAGTCTTCTTTCAGGAGAATACTTCCTCTTCAGCGTTAATGTTTAAAAGCAAAATTATGGTTTATTCAAAGCGGAATAACTGACTTTTAAATGAAAAAGTTGAAGTGTGATTCACTACAGGTAAACCATAAGCGGCATATGTTGGATAACCATCTACTGACAACATAGTTGACTTTCGAGTAGTATTTTACACTGCTAGTTAAGGTATATAATACGTAAATGATACTATCTTGCCTGGCGTAAGACGCACTCATAAGAAAGTTCTTACCACGGCGTACGAAATAACGTTCGCGCATCCACACTGTGATCCAACGTAGATTAAAAATTTTTTCCTTGAATAGAATTTTAGTGAGTATAGTCAGCTATTCCTGAGATCGGACCCTATCCCATCCCAAGTAAGCGCCTTGAAATCGTTTAATAACAAATTTTAAAACCCATCTATTTTGTCGCTTTAACAGCTAACGTACCGAATGTCGTAAGGCAAATTTTGTCGATTTAATGCTAAACAAATTAATAAATTTGCAAATCTAACGAAGGCCAGCTACCAGCGTATGACGGCTACGTCGTTAATTTACCCTAGAGATAGTGCATCTATTACGATATGTAAAGCTTCTCTCGTGATATTTTAAGTAGTCCTGAATACAGGGAGTTATTTTTTGAAATCATGTTGTCGGTATCCACATTCTTCTAGATGGTTCACTAATCTCTAGAAGTGCACTATGCTGAGGCGTGAGAAGACAGCACAATCGCTGTAGCAAGATGACCGCTTTTATGATGCATTTGTAGCAAATATATCTCTCTTTCTCATGGTTCGAGATTAATAGGCAACAGACAGCTGCCTTTGCCGAATTTCGGCGTCATCTCTGGTCCTGCGGGACGTTGGAGTCCCTCTGAAAATACATAATATTTTAGGCCTTTGGATTCAAAGAACGGTGTTTATGTAGTAAGGTTACATCATGTGTAAAAATAATCAGCATAGGTATTTGCACCAGCTCCTATTAAAATGCACTGCCTAGAACAAGATTACATAATCAAAATAAGTAGAACAAACCGACGCTACTTTCGCTTCTTCAGACTGTTGCTGTCCACCATGGTGGGCTGACAACAGCCACGTCCCCTTCCTGAGTTTGTCGGTATTTAAAATGCCCTCGAGTTTACGTAATAGCACAGTCAAGTAATTTATTCCCTAAATAACGACTATTAACCCTTTATAGCCGCAGTTTACAAGAAATCACTGGGACTGGCTCTCCCCTTATAAACATCTGAATCTGCCGATCTTTCTTGTCAGCAGGCTTGCTGATATTCTGGCGTTTAAATATGTGCAATGTAGTTACTACTTTATATCATGCAAGTAGCCATTATTTCCGCTATGGCACTCGGCACTGCCTGCATTAGACCACGGTGACACAGCTGACCTTTCCAGGTCATAAATATATATAATTCGCAGCTGTGAACAATAGGAGACAGCAATGGAGCAATATGAAATCAGAATTTCTCAGCAGTTGTTCGATGGGAAAAACTTGTTCCGTCCGTTAAAGACCAAATAGCAGAGCGATGGAGATCACCACTGAGTTAAACGCTTACAAGCAGCTTTATATTAAAAGGGTTTATGTTAGCTTGGAGTACATCAGTCTCTTTGAGACTTGTAGGGTCAGACAGAATTTCAATATGAATATTAGGGCCAAAGTCCATCAACCACTGTGGAATAAGCGCGTAATATTCATAAACTGCCAAGAGGCAGCCAGTAGTATATACCGAGATAGCACGATACATCATACGTGACAGTTCGGATACCAAGCTAAACGCCCACACACGTGTTTCGCCGATACTCTATCGCTGCATGGCAAAGCTGCGAGGGGTTCCGCTCATCAGTGGGTTCCCTGGCGTTCCCTGCGTGTTTTTGAGCCTATAAGTCTCAAATAGACTGATTTACCCCAAGCTAGAGATTAATTTCTGAGGAAATTAAAAAGCTGCAGTTTATGTTTCCTCGTTATGGGACCACTTGTTATGGTCCGGACCGAAAACTCCAGAGTAACTATGGTAGATCAGCGATTACCATGCCCACATGACGGAATATTAGGCACCGCAACCGCCGGGAAGTCTCTTAAGCGGTTGACATGGAAATTCTCAATGACCAAATTAATAAGATTCAACTCTCATGTGTTCACTTTGAGTTTCACATGGCCGTCTAGTGCTGGCGAGAAAGCCGAATATGGGCACTCCAGCGTTCTTTGCCTTCACCGTTTATATTTTACGCATGATCATTCATTGGTTAACAGCATTCGCTGGTGGACGACTCCTTAATCGGACGTTATACCTATAAAATTTGGTTTGCCGCGGTGCTATAGTCACATTAAAGATTGATTGGTGCAATGACTTTTTAACGCCGAATGTGCCTGCCAAGGCCTTCGGAGTTATCGTCTTTTTATCATTTGAGAACGTAGGACTCTGTGTTCATCGAAGCACTTTGATTGTGTCAAAAAATCAGGGAGACCAGACCAAAACGTGAACAGGGGCTAGTTTTAGCCCCGTAAAAATAAACACCTTATAACTCTATGGAATCCAGCCTATACTGGGGTTGCACGAGTCACCATAATGAGGGCACGACTAGTAACTAAGTCTTAGACACGTTTTTCGCCAAAATTCAGCCGCAGCGAAACATTTGTCTGGACTTTTATCTGGTACCTCTGCTGACAGTATGATAAATCATACAATATATGTATGCTACCGGGTGCCTGTTTGCAGTTTGTGAATATTACGCAGTTATCTCGCCGAGACCTATGGATTTCGGTTCGGTTTTTCATATCACCGCTCGCACTGGACCTATAAAACTTAATTTCGAAGCATTTACTTTAAATTAGCGCAATGCTTTCTGAGGGGATTAAGAGGCTGACAAATCGGCTTATGCATCTTGTCAAAATATAGACTTCGTGAGATATGAGCAGCTGTAAATAGTTCCTCGCGACTCATATGTGCGTTCTCACCGAGACCTCTGTTGATTGACTCCGTACGCAAAAGTTCAAGACTTCTATAGCCAAAATTTCTCATTCGCGCTAAGATATCTTAAATGGGTGTAGAGATAGTTATTAAAACTGATACCCAGTTAGCAGCTAACGGCAGTCAAAGTCCAATAACTTATTCCCTTCTTTCTAATGATACTGAGCCTTACCCAGACAGAACGATTGCCAGATTTGAGCTTAAACAATGAGTGGGTTTTCTCCTCTAACCTTTTAGTAGCTTTTTTCACTCAAAGTGGTTTGAACATAAGCACCGTAAGCTGACTCCACCCGCAAAACATCCAGGCACAACACACGTTCTATTTAAAAAACGACACCGCAGACATCTGGAACTGCACTTTTTGAGCAAAAGCGCAAAATTTGGTCAAAGTAGTCGCTGTTCCGGTAGTTTTCTCTTAATTGTGCCATAGATTACACCGTTTGGGGTTTCTAGAACATACTGTTATGTGCGCAGTGTCAGCCTGTGTGCATGTTCTAGCGCGTGGCATGCATGCATGCATATATCTTTGGTATTTTCATACACTCATTAGGTTGAAGTAGGTATCAAGAGAAGACAGGCAAGTTTTGCACAAGTTCAAGAGTGAAAAGTATCCACAAGTGATTGGATTTACTGTCGATGTGAAGTAAGAGGCTGGGTGTGAGAGGTAACGTCTGTTCTAAAATTCTGAATGCGGATAAATTCCGAAACTTTTCATGTAACTCTCTAGATGCCCACCCCGAACCGCCGGACGCTGTTTTGGACTGCTTTCAACTTCTTTTTAATATATTGCCAGAAGTCCGTATCTTCCTTCTTTTCGCAATGAAAATATTAGTTAATAACTCTAACCAACCGGTAGAGTATATTCAAACCTCCAAGAGAGCTGGTGCCTTACGTTCTGCTAACGGCCTGTGGTTATTCCTGTTACGAATAGATGAAGAGGAATTTCATAATCGAGGCATAGTACGTAAGCCCTCGAAGATACTCCGTACGGAGTGCTAGTATTTGCTTTTAAAAACAACCCGAATGGACAAGGGACACAGTGGGCACAAAAACCCGAAGCCATCAGTGAGTTTAAAGAAGCAATTTTGAGCGATGTTAAAAAATCTTTCGATGAAAATTCTTATATAATTTTCCTGTTCACTAATCAAACGATGTTATAATGTCTGGTTAAAAAGTTGGTTAAAAGTGGGTTAAATTGTTAACTTACCAGTTGATTGAATTCCGAAATTTCTCCATACATCATTTAAAGGAGCCCAAAGTATTCTTTCCGAGCTGATTCTCATTTGCCGCAATGCAGGTTTCGAGTTTGTCAGTATCTATTCCCATCCCGGAGGGCAGTGTTTCATCCTCAAATGACCTTTTTAAAAGGTCCGGATCTTGAAATTGGGACATGGCTCATGTGCTGAGGCTCGGTTCTGCCTATGGCCGTCAAAAGGAAAGAGCCTATTGCTAAATCATATTTGTAACCGTCCAAACTCGCGGATTGTCGTTCACGTGGTCTTTTTGAAAGTTTAAGGTGTGTAGAAGGGGCTGTCTGCCTTTAAAATGGTCATTCCTGCAAAAACCCAAGGAAGTTGGAAACACTGAATTTGTGGAATCACGAACAGAAACAGGATGAGGGTATAAGGGCCAGGAGGGTACGGAGAGAGTGAAGGTGACGTGGAAGGTTAATCCTGGTAATAGGAGCAGCATGGACACCGCGCTCCAAATCTTTTATGGCATGTTGACTTAGGAAATGTTGTGTGGCGGACAGCTGAAATTCTTGGCAGAATAATATTGCTGACAAAGACTAGGGAGACTAGAACGGTCATTTTTGACTTATTAGACGCCGTCGACCAGCTATACCCAACCCCGGTTTTTGCAAACTCTGAGGCTCGAACCCACATTCTGTTGAGTAGAAGTCCAGTGTCCTAACCATGCAGCCGCGGGCTCGTTGTCCCATCGGTTGTGATCGGGTATATCAACAATGGTAAGGGGGGGCGCTCATCGATCGGGTTACAGAACGTACTCGTCTCGTTGTGCCTTGGGACTCACTGAAGAACCCCACCAGCGGGCGCACAGCAGAATAACATTATTGAAGAAGACAGGGAGACTGGAATGGTCATTTGAGGCCTGGTAGCCGTCATCGTCAGATGAGATTCTCCATGACTAATGAAACCTGCCTTATTTTCTTGAAATTTTGTTTGTATTTGTTGTGGCGTGAAATTATAGTGTGAGAACACGAATAAATGCCTAAATTTTGGAGTACGTTTATTTGCGCAAGTTTATTCCAAGCTTTTAGAACTATTTACATGTGGGCATCATGGCAGCGCGTTAAAAGAAGACGGTTTTTGCTCAATTTAGGAACGTTCTAGCCTATTTTTTCGAAACATGTAGTGCTGGACGTGTTTGTGTGTGAAGCGATTCTCCTCAATATGGTGATGCCCAGTTATGGATTTTGCAACCAGTTGCAAAATTGTCCTCAGAATAAACTCCGTGCCAAGTTCAGTCTGGCGTGTTTTCTAGAAACAATGGAGAAGTAATAGTCGCACATGAGACCCTGTTTGGAAATTACCGTTTCTTAAAAACACTTGTTTGTGACAAATGAACACTTCAACTAATGATAAATAGTTTGAAGTCCAACATGAATTGCTGCCTTGGTTCATGACGCTCAAATTACTAGGCATGGATGATTCTTAAAATCACTTCCTTTTTCGGAGAAAAACAACCTGGTGCGCAAAAAACGTCACTTAAATCTGAAAAGACGGACAATTTTTGTTTGGAAAGTCGTGAAATCGATAGGGTACGTGAAAGAACACGTGTTTAGTAAAGTTTCTAATCTAGACCTTTGTAAATTTCGATGTCTACCACGATCCCTGTGTTCCCAAAAGGGTGATTTCCACAACGAAGACTATTTCTGACTTTGCTGCAGTTATAAACCGGCCACAATCCAAGCCCAGACGGGGCGCGTGACTATTAATCTCTATGTAACCACCTGCAGACATGCTATATCCGTAGTTTAAAAACGCAACGGAACTGAACATCGACGTTTTTTAATCAGGACAGACGTCTGAACGCCACCTTTCGTCGACTTTAAATTTTTCTTAAATTCTAGGTGATGCGGATTGCTGTAGCTAGTCTAAGAGAACTTGACGTTTGCTGGTTGGACTGCTTGTACTAGAGGTGGCCTTATCCAGAGGAGGGGGTTACGGATATTGTTAGGATTAGGGTTTGGGTTATGAGGGTTAATGTTAGGGTTAAAGTTAGAACAGGGGAATTTAACTCGAGGCCATCTGCAGTACGGGGGATGTAGTCCCGTGTCCGACCTAGTAGGCCGGCGTATCCAGATTCGCATGCAATCATTTTGGCTGCTTTTAGAGGAGTGGTTTAATTTTGACAGACTCTGGTAATTTATTAAGGCAACCATCATCTGCTTCAGAAAACGTGTCCTATGATGCCCACTCATGACCTAAGATCTCCTACGTTGTTATGGGACCGCAAATGTGCAAGATGAGGTAAAGCGGAATTGGAAACAAAGTAAACACTCAGCCAACATTAAACAGTCGAACTCCTCTGCATTACTTCAATCGTGATACTGAGGTTGTTGGTGCAGGATAAGTTCCGATTCCATTGGAGTGTTATTTAACGTTATATCATTACTGCAGGGCGGAACTGGCCTTTCCATTTTGAATTGGAGCTCTCGATCTACAGCCAATGGGCGACCACACGCCGAGTAAAAATCAATAATCGGAAAATGTCATTAACTGAAATGGTAATTTTCAGCCTATTTGCTGACATCAAGAAGCAACGCCCTAACCTACGTGCAGGCGCACTCTAGATTAGGGGGTGCTTTGCTTGATATGCTTAATGGCGCGCTGGATGCGGACTCAAATTTTGGCGTGCCAGTACTTATGGTTGGAGTATCACTGACCGATGACAGCAGGGGACCAGAAGTTGTTATTTCGATGTCAACAGTTTCTTTCTGGAACACTTATTCGTGTCGTTTGATTTTCAGCATTCGAAACATGGGATCATTTTGTGTGAGAGTCTGCCAAAACGGAAAAAAAGAGGAGGCGACTTTCCCATTAGGAATAGGGTAATCCGTTTTTTTCAAAACAGAACAGTACATCATCCACGACTCAGATGCAGAACCCCTGTGGAAAACGGGAAGTTCGGCGGTTCTAGAACGCAGGACGAGCATCGCTTTCTGCTCGGTGAGTTCTAGTTTCCCATAGATTACTTTGCAAAACAGATTTCTGTCCCTGAAAAAAATTCTAGACTATATCAAGTCCCGATATCGGTTTAGAATCATGAAAAAATCGATTTACATCGAGTATCGTCGTAAAGATTGCGTTTTTAATTATTGCCCCACCTCTCCAGATACATACAGTTAGCTACTTTTTTTCGGATGTGTAACACCAATAACGACGGGAAAGACTCAATCTCGGTCCATTTCTCCGTATTTGCTCCGAGTTGAGTGTGAAATTGAAGAAACCGTATAATTTTTAAATCGGCCAAGAAAAGAAAGAAGATGACGGTGGTGATGGCGATGATGATACTGCCTCTGCTGTCGCTGTTGCTGTTGCTTCTGCTGCTGCTGCTGCTGCTGCTGCTGATGATGATGATGATGATGATGATGATGATGATGATGATGATGATGATGATGATGATGATGATGATGATGATGATGATGATGATGATGATGATGATGATGATGATGATGATGATGATGATGATGATGATGATGATGATGATGATGATGATGATGCGATAAACAGACGCTGAAGAAGAAAATAGTTGACAGTTGGCACGATTTCGTTCTACCTCAATTTTCTACATCGTGAGTGAGCATGTGAGTCAATTTTGTTAGCGAAATTATGATAGCGAAACTGAGCTTTGACGCTGAAGAAGATCGGTGGGTTTGCGCTCTGCTGGAAATGTTGACTGGGCGAAAGCTATTAGTGGAACAATAATGTAAAACTGTGAGAGATTCTGAAAATAGTTGACGATGCTCACTGAGCCATTTTAGTTCTCTGGATGGAGTTTGAGAGGTGGAATAATCAAAATGGTTTTAATTATCGTCGGTGACAACACAATACCCAAAAAACCGCAAGACTTATACGAGAAACAATGGAAACCTCGTTGAGAAGTGAGCTATGTGCTCGTGTTTTATTAAAAAACCGTAATATAGTGCATAAAATTGTGACGTGCGTAAAAAATGAAGACTGTAAGACAACTGTTGGAAAATGACTGGAAACTGCTTAACTGTTCAGGGAAGGGATTTTCGCTGCTGAGCACTATTTCTATTGTTTGAAATCAAGAGTGTAGTTAGTCAGCAGTAGTCCGAAACTCCAAATGATCTTTTAAACGCCCAGATTTCCATCAAGCTTTTGTATAACCACAGTACGCTGGAGTTGGCAAGATGCATCTAAACGCCATCCATTTGGGTTCAAACGTTGTCAATAAGCGCATAACACAGACCTTGTATGGGTATCGGGGGCCAATGAGAGTCTCCTTTACCTTGCTATTATGTGTCGGGAATAGTTGAAACAATTCACTCTGAGCTTGAAAACCGTTTAATAAACAAGGGCTCTTTCGAAGACGAAAATACCTCTAACTGCAAAGATATCCCTCCAATGGGTATGTGTGAGTAGGGGCAGGATAAAATCCTCTTCTAGTCGCCTACAGTTGTATGAAATTAAGACCCGATTATGATGCTTAAGGTACACACAGCACGCTGGCTTCTAAGACCACATTCTGCGCAGCATCTCGGAAAGAACGCTGAGTAGACAACAAACTGCAAAACTGTCTTACTTGCTGGACCGCTTTACTGTGCAGCTGACAGCCAGGTCTGATAATTCGCCTGTTTTCGTGGTAATTTTGTTCTCTCGGCGCTCCTTGGCATTCCCTGTATGGTGCCCCCGAATTCAAATAACCCAAAGGGAAACGTAGATGTGACGTAGGCTCATAAATTGTCTGCATCGAATTCTACTATAGCTTTTAACTTTAGTACGGTGCCGCACGTTGTTCAGCCATGAATAGGTCATTAGTTTAGGGGTCTTTGTAGTCAACAGTGAGAAAAAATGTGCATATGTCTGCGTAAAGAAGGGGTAGCAGGTCACCTCCGGACACTGATAGAAATGACAGGTTACCAACACATGTGACACTTGTGAAGGTATTTCTGACCGACCGCTGCTTACCTATTTCTTGTCATCAAGTTGGTTACGCAAGGTTCTCGTAGGCTGGAGGTGCACCAACTCGACAGTTATATGGGTTGACTTTCGACTCGAGTCACTTATCGGACTTGCACGTTTGAGCATGCATAAACGGAAGTTATTTAACAGTCTCCAGAAGAATGCCTTTCGCCAGTAGCGTAGGTTTTTAGCTCAAGTGGTGACCATGTCAAAAGGTATCCCGCAATTATGGGCTAGGGAATCACTGTGGGCTTGACTCTTGGTCACAAGCGCTCACTGAATTTTGAAGACAGGTGGCGGCTCTTACAGTCAAAATTAGTGTTTAATATAAACTTTTGTTGTCACTCGAAGCTTTTGGAACAGTTTGATGCATGAGGAATTTTGAGGTTTGTTTTAAACACATTCAGTATATTTCGGCGTTCCTGCTTTGGATAATTTTACGAAACTACGATGGTGCTCACTGGAAGAGGTAAGGGTGTCAGGAACACACACTTCCGCCCAATTTGTGTTGAAGTGCATCAGCCCGGTGGAATAATAACTCAGGCTGGTCTTCTCGCACGCCGGCGGACGGTCGCCGTCAAAAAATTGGGAAGCGTGTCCTCATTTTCATAGATATCTATGTATGCTTGAATGTTTACGAGGCCCTACAGAGTCCTAAGTGATATGCTTATTTCCGATTTGCTTTTGAACACAAGCAAATTGCCACAAAACAAATAACCGGGATTCGGACACGCATCTGTCCTCAAGGCGCATTTAGATTACCAATAAAGTAAGCCGATGCGACCGTAAATTATTATATGCTTTGCTGTCTGGGAGAAACAAAGGCCAATTTGCACAGATGCTTTGGCTTTCATTGAGTACGTTTCCCAAACCTTTTCAGACAAGTATCTTTTTGTTGCAAAAACGCAGTTGCTTCTAATTTCTCCTGATACGTCTATTAAAATTAGATATTCCGGTAACTGTCTCTTAACCAGTCCGTACGAACATTAAACTCCGTACCAAAGTACGTTTATTAGCGTCCTCGCCATCATTAATTGATCAAAAGTAATTAGCATCTCATTTGATAGTACTACTACTCCTGGCTGGCAGCGCAGCTCAGTCGGTTTGTCTTGTTTAGTCCCCAAATATGTCTTTCAGAAGTACCCTAACATATTGGTTTTTAAACACCTGACCTAACCTCACAATCCGCGTTACCTTTTTTTTCAAAAAATACCGTAAGTGCAGCCTGCAACACTATCACTACTACTTATGCAACTACTAACTGTATCGATGCAACCAAACACTTCTGCCCTCATCTGCGCTACAACGAACGCCACTGCCTACAACAGCCAGAACGAGGTGCTCTCCGTCCTTGACAGTTGTCCACGCAAGATCAAGCGCGGTACCGCTGAGAGTTGTTTATGGCGCGGGCGAGCGGTAAGGTACCGCCAAAGCCCAGCAGTTCCGGTCGCCGAGTGCATGCAGGACGGTCCAACCGCGCCGAGCGCCTTTTTATGAAAAGGCAGTCGGCATGTTGATAAGTTGGAAGGACGTGCGAAGGGGCCCGGTGTTCCCGTCGCCGTAGCTATACTTAAAGGCGCGGCTGCACAGGGCGCTGTGGCGGCCGCGACGTTAGAGCCATAACCGAGGGCAATAAATTGTGGGGCCTTCGCACCTGCGTGACTCAGCTGCCTGCCGCGTACGTGCGTTCCTTGCCGCGCTCCACAACGCACACACGCACGCACGCACGCACACACGACGCACCGCGCGCATCGCAACGTTGATCCAGCCGCCCTTCTCTTCTGTTTGATTTATGCTGCCCAAGGCCAGGACGCGCGCGCCCCGCTTTGATGTCACCGCCGCTGCCGCCGCCGCGAAACAGGGGCCTCGGAGGCACGAGGGGGGGGACATCATGCTGATGAGGATGATGACGCGATCTGCGTAGCCGTAAATCTTTCCGGTCGAGAAGTTGTGGGCTCTGCTACTTCCCCCAACCCCAGCCAGTACTACTTATCCCGGCTCCACTGGCAAGGCGTGAAGGCATTGTTCGTGTTGCGCTCGTTTGCATACGATTCTGTGTACGCCTGTGCGTGTTGGCGTACACGAGTATTGTGTGCCGAAGTTTCTCGTTAAAAGGAAAGCAAATTAATTCAAACGGCAGGAAAAGCCGGTGTTATCTCAGCGTTGAGTAGCCGGGGGTGTGAAGGGAGAAAAAAAGAGAGGCAGTCGGTCATGCCGGCCGCCGTTTGATCGTCAAGGAGCAGCTACACGTGGAATATCCCATTACTAATACGCCTAGGTGAACTAATGTTTGGCTTTAAGTTCAAAGTCGCCAGATGCTGCGCAGGTCGACATCGGCCTGCGAGTGGTCAGACGTTTATGTCAATTCATGGACTCGCCAGTACCTTCTCGAACCCTAATCTTAAGGTCAGTTACCTCATGAATGAGTCATGACATATGGATGAAACCTGCAGATTATTTTAATGCTGTCAGGTTGCGTTCTATGTCCAGCCAAATTCACCTGTAGTATACGAAGAGGGCGTTCCTCTCGGGGTTATCGTTTCATTTAAATCCACCACAACTTACGGACACCAACCTGTCTTTTTCTGATTCTTAGACTTCCGACCCCCGATTCCGACGCCACAGTCACCTGGTCAACACAGTTCTTGGAGTAACTTAAGGGGATAAGTCTCCCAACAACCGAAGTCACGGTATCTTTTGTGGTCACTTTCCACACTCCTTCTGTTGTCCAGGATCCGGCAGTCGCAACCATCGGACAGTCTCTGTAAAACGGACATGATTAAACATAAAATCACCCCGGACAAATCCGAATCTGTCCCTAAACGTACATATCAAATGTAGGATGAACTGCACAACCAACCGGCCTTCATCTATGCCCCCGTCTGCTGCAGTGATTGCAGCGCAACGTCTTCAGTTAAATAACATATAAGACATCGCTGGTGAGTTTTAACAGCAACCACACAAAAATGTACACTATAGGACTCCCTAATGGTCCGCCAAAACGCACTGTAGTGAACTGGTAAGCAAAACCTATGAAGTACTGTATCATTTAGGGACACTTAGAACGAATGATTACTTGCTCAGTTTCGTCAAGTGTGTGAAGACGAGCAATGGAACCAAATCGCACTGCCCAGTAATTCTGTTGAACGCTCTCGTACGTCAAGAATGTCTCAAAAGCCGTCGGTAGCCATCGCAGCCCACTCGGATTTAGCATTGCACACACCACAGACACATATCAGGCACTAGTTAAAGAAGCCAAAATCGCCACTGTCGAGACAGTAGACCTCTGGAGTTGTTTACGGGATCCGGTGCGGTTGAGAGCGGAGCAGACACTACGAAGAATCTGTGAACTTCGAATGCGGATGGCCGAACATGTAGTAGCGAGGAGGAATGATACCAGCTATCAAGTGGTAGCTGATTCGACGGGATCCGGCCAGATCTTCAGGTTACGCGAGGCCAAAAATCTTGAAAGGGACAACAGGGAGTGATACGCGAGCTGCTTGAGTCATGGCCCTACGACACCCTTCATCCATATTCAGTTCCCAAGTTTTCCTGTGCATAATCATTAGGTCCATGGGGAACGCGCGGGCG